GCAGGAGGCTGAAGAGGCTGTGTGAGGGGTGGGTGGGGTCACGCACAATGCTGGTTGCTTTGCGGGTGAGGCGGGTACCGTAGAGGTCCAGAAGAGAGGGGAGTGGGACACCGATAATCCGTTCAGCAGCCTTCACTGTGCGCTGCTCCCAAGCCACACAGTGATGCAGCTGGTCAGGATGCTCTCGATGGTGCCTCTGTAGAAGGAGCACATGATGGATGGGGGGGCTCGTGCTCTCTTCAGCTTGCGGAGGAAGTAGAGGCGCTGCTGGGACTTCTTGGCCAGTGATGTGGTGTTGGTTGTCCAGGAGAGATCCTCACTGATGTGAACCCCCAGGAACTTGGTGCTGCTCACTCTCTCCACAGCAGCACCGTCGATGGTCAGTGGGGGTTTAGGAGTGGGGACTCTCCGGAAGTCGACAACAACCTCCTTGGTCTTGTCGACGTTCAGGAAGAGGTTGTTGTCTCTGCACCACGTGGCCAGTTGGCTGACCTCCATCCTGTAGTGCGTCTCATCGTTGTTGGAGATGAGACCAACCACTGTTGTGTCGTCCGCGAACTTCACAATGTGGTTGCTGCTGAAGGATGGAGCGCAGTCGTGGGTCAGCAGCGTGAAGAGCAGGGGGCTGAGCACACAACCCTGGGGGGCCCCGTGCTCATGACGGTGGTTTTTGATGTGCTGCCGCGACCCGCACTGTCTGAGGCCTCTCGCTGAGGAAGTCCAGCAGCCAGTTGCACAGGGAAGTGCTGAGCCCCAGCTGGTCCAGTTTGCCGATCAGCTGCTGAGGGATGATGGTGTTGAATGCTGAACTGAAGTCTATGAACAGCATTCTGACGTATGAGTTTTTGGTGTCCAGGTGGGTGAGGGCTGGGTGAAGAGCAGAACAGATGGCATCCTCGGTGGATCTGTTACCTCGGTATGCAAACTGGTAGGGGTCCAGGGTGGCGGGGAGGGTGGATTTGATGTGGGCCATGACTAACCTTTCAAAGCACTTCATGGCGATGGGGGTCAGTGCAACGGGTCATTGAAAGTGGATGGTGAGGGCTTCTTTGGAACGGGTATGATGGTGGTGGCTTTGAAGCACGACGGAACAACAGCCTGACTCAGAGAAGCGTTGAAAATGTCTGTGAAGACATCTTTGAGCTCCTCTGCACAGTCCTTCAGCACACGGCCAGGAATGTTGTCTGGACCTGCAGCCTTGCGGGTGTTGATCTTGGAGAAGGTTCTCTTCACGCTGGCTGCAGTCAGGCACAGGTCTGGTCGTGGGGAGGGGGGTGGTCTTCTGTGGGGCGTGCTGTTGTGTGCTTCAAACCTGGCAAAGAAGCTGTTGAGGTCGTTCAGCAGAGAGGTGTTGCTGTCACAGGTCTGTGGCTTGGGTTTGTAGTCCGTGATGGTCTGGATACCACGCCACAGGCTCTGCGTCCTGAAGTGTCCGGTTATTTTTAGTGTGTAGCTGCGTTTGGCTTCCCTGATGCCACGGGACAGGTTGGCCCTCGCTGTTCTCAGGCAGGCTGCGTCCCCAGCTCTGAAGGCGGTGTTCCTGGCCCTCAGTAGCCCGCGTACCTCTCCTGGTTAGCCCGGGTGGTGATGGTTCTGGTGGTGGTGACATCAGCAATGCATTTGCTAATGTAGGAGGTAACAGTGTCAGAATACTCCTCAATGTCTGTGTGGTTGTTGTAGGTGGCTGCTGCTTAAACATCTCCCAGTCTGTGGTGTCAAAGCAGTCTTGTAGTGCAGCAGAGGCCCCTCTGGCCACACACATACCTGCTTCAGAACTGGTTTGGTGACTTTAACCCTGGGTCTGTAAGCTGGCATTAGCATTACACTGATATGGTCAGAGTGGCCGATGTGGGGAGGGGTGAAGCTTTGTAAGCACCTTTAACTGATGTGTAAATCATGTCCAGAATGTTACCTTCTCTTGTGGGAAAGGTCACGTGTTGGTGGAAGTGGGGTAAAACCGTCTTGAGATTTGCATGGTTAAAATCCCAGCGATGATGAAAAATCCGTCTGGGTGGGCTGTCTGTTGCTCACTGATGGCGTTGTAAAGTTCCCAAACTCTGCCAGCGGTGAACAGTGTTTACATACCACAGCAGCATCTCGACACAAGCACCTGATGTAACACAGACTCCACCACCTTTCTTCTTTCCTCCTTTAATAAGGATTCTGTCCGAACGGTAGCATGTGAATTGTTCAAGCTGAACGGCGGAGTCTGGGATGCGTTCGTTCAGCCATGTCTCTGTGAAAATGTACGCACAGCCATCCTCGCGTCGCGGTGCGCAGCTCTCAGTAGCTCTATATGATCTATTTTATTGTCCAGAGAACTGACTTTGTTATTGTTACTTTTGCCAAAAAGCCCTACTAGCACCTGGGACTGGAAATTTGATTATACTTTGGATGGAAACGCAAAATAATTTAATTTTAACTTCCATTAAGTTGATTTCCCCCGAAGTGTTGCATTGCATGATAGACAATCTCAGAACCAATCAGTACTCATCATCTATCATCGTCTGATTTACGATATTTGCCTATGGGAACACTCTCCATCATTCTGGTTAAACCAGCGGTTGGCATTGAACGACATTCAGGCAAAACTCTCTCCACAACATCCCGCAGTAAGCTAGAGAGCAGCTTCACTCTGTCTCACTTCAGCCGTATGAGCCCTGACCAAAACAGAAACCAATTTTCCTGTGATTTATTTGCTATTAACAGGAATGAAGTTTTCCGAAATAAAAACATCATGATGCAGATTTGTGAAAAGTCAAAAGTCAAGTTTTGTCAGGTCTGTCGTCAAGAGGAGAAGAAAACAACTGTTTGTTGAATGGATGTGGGATCGGTCACTTCTGATGTGTTTCAGGTTGTCAGGGAATCTCTGATTGGCCTTTACCACACAGCATCAAGCAGATTCCAGTTGAAATGTTTGATCAATGATAAATTGTTAACTGCACTTTAATGCAGATATCTGTTTATAGAGCGAAAGAATCGTCATCAAAACACCCCCGATGGGAGCTGGTATTTCCTTAGCGTTAGGGTTATGTTACTTCTGTCTTTTGCCGTCCACACCGACTGTTTTCTCCTGCACACACCAAAGCCTGCTGATATGATAGGTAATTGGTTAATACAGCTTGGACTACAAATGTAGTACAAACAGTAACCAGAACACTTACCATGTTGAATATCTAGACCCCGTGTACAGATTGTATTCAGTTTCTGTGGTCCATCTACAATAGTAGGCGGTGTGTGTATTCTTTCATGTTCTGTCTTTTCCACACAAACACACACTCACAACACGTACCCTCACAGGCATGATATTTAATGTGCGTGTGTGGAGGTTGAAGTTGGAGGAGGGAAAGTGATTAGCGGAGCGTTTCCCACCCTGTAAAACCTTCATGGACAGTTTTATGAGCGTAAAGGTGCGACGCTGAGGAGAAAGAGGAGGAGAAGGGAGGTGCAGAAACCCCCCCCCAGAATACTGAGGAGTCTGTTTCATGATACAGATGTCAGCAGGACGGGGAAGGAAATGTGTTTCTTGTTTGTCTCTTTTAAAGAAAAATCAGCCTGAGACACATGGAAAAGCAAATGTTATAAGTCATATAAATGACTGTTTTTGGATAATAAAGGGCAAACTCAGTTTTTAATGGTTTTTAACATTTGTTCATCCTCCCTGAGCGGCTCTGATATTCAGTCCATAGATTAAAAAAATACATTCTGCAGCTGTTAAGTTATTTCTCATCCTCAGAGCTCATTCTGGGCTTTTCTTATTCACAGGGTAAAGCTAAAGTGTATTTTATCAACTTCAGAAACTCTGCACAGTGAAACATCCCAAAAGATCGATTCAGTGCGCTCAGAGTGCAACTAAAATATTGATGGTGTTCTGCAGAGTTCATTTCCAAAGATACTTTTATGTTGTCGTGGAAGACTTTTTAGCTTCAGAAGAGTTTAAGCCATCTGTAAAAAAAGAAAACTTCAAGATGAAGTCTGAAATATTACGGCTAAGTTATAAAAGAAAAAAACATATACAGTAGTATATCCAATCCCCGGCTGCCGTCAGTGAGAGCGAGAGAGAGAGAAAGGTAGAATACCTGATCAATGCAGCACTGGATCAATAACTCCGTGTCATAGAAAGTCAAATCTGTGTTTATGTAGTCTGGTGTGAATAACAATCGAAGCCGGTCGGGGACAAACACAACTTTATCTACAATGCAGCCATTACAGCGTTTTTCACGGTTGCAGACTGAAGCAATGTAGCGGAGCAGCTCAAAAATAATGTTGTACCTTTACACAGAAATGTGAAAAAAATGGAAATAAATAAGAAAATGGCTGTTGTGTTGTAAGCCCTAAGGGTTCATATATACTTAGGCCAGGGGTTGTAAAACTTTTTCTGTCATGCCATGCAACATTTTTCTTGCGCGGTGATTTGAAAACTGTGGGTTCCTTATCTGCAAAATACTTTTTCTTTTCTTCACTGAGCCTTTGGCTCTCTGTTCAACACAGCAAAAGTCCCGTTGAAAAAGTTTTCCCTTGCCACTCCGTTATCACAACAGGTGAGCCTCGTGTGGGGAGGAATGGATGTCTCTCTCTTTTCTCTCTCTGGTCAGCTGCAGAGATGACAGACCTGCTACATTTTAAGGTGTACAGAGTGAGCGAGATCGATCACCTACTAGTTCATTGATCTTAAATGCAGATCTTAAACACCCCCCCTGCCCCAGATGATAATTAAACTGATGATATCATCCTTTTACGGCTACACCGTCAGTCCAAAAAAAAGCTCAGGTTTCTAAAGTTGCTGTGAAGAAGGTTTAGGTTCTTCTCTTCTTCTCCTTCAGGTGTTGAATGGTGAGCAGGTGAATCTCACCTCCTCCTGCTCCATCAGGCCTGTCCTCACTCAGCTCCTCCTCCTCCTCCTCTTCCCCCCGGCCTCTGAAGCGCTCATTCAGTTCTCAACCTCCAGGCCGAGTGCCTCTCACCCAGCAGGACGGAGTGCAGAGGATTCTGGGTAATGGATGTGGATTCAGGGAGACTGGCAGACTGACACAAAGTCAAGGGTATCAAGAAGATCAACATTGGCCCTCCTCCTCCTCATGTGGTGTTTCCTCCTCTTCTGACTCCTCGAGACATCAGTCAGCTCCTTCACTCTCCTCCTCTGCCTCTTTTTTCTCAGTTTTCCAGCCAGCCTCCTCCCTCACCTCCTCCTCCTTCACCTCGTCCCCCTCTTTGTTCCCCCTCTTCCTCCCCCGACTCAAACCCCAGTGCTTCCTCCTCCCAAACTGGTTCCCATCTTCAAGAACAAGTGTCCATCGCGTCGTATCAACGTGGCCCTCCTGAGAGCGCAGAAACAGGGACAGCAGCTGATTGGAGGAGGGGAGGAAAGAGGGCGGGTGACCTTACCTGCTTTGGGAAGAAGACCCAACACGTTTTGTACTTCTTCTTCTTCTTCTTCTTCTTCTTCTGTTTTCTCTTTGTCAGCTTCATCTTGCCCACCTACCATTCCTAGCTTCAAACCTCGCCCTAAACCCAAGAGCAGCGCCTTCCCTCTTCCAGCAGGTTACCCCAAACTCAAACGCCTCCCCAGCCTCAGCCCGGCCTCCAGGTCTAAACCTGCGCTCATCCTCAGTCCAAATCCAGAAATCCAGTACGAAGCCAAGTCCAGCAACATAACCGAAAAGATGGCAAGTTTAGAAAGCAACACTGCAGCTATGTCAAGAGGAAAGGTGCAAGAACAAGCATCAAAACAACCTTCAGCTGCTCCACCTGAGCCTCCTCGACTGCTGACAGCTGCAGAAATCTCAAACAGCAGCACAACAGTGAGTCCAGTTGACCTAATTCTGATTCGTTATAAATGTTAAGAGGTTTTTTTTTTTGTTTTTTTTTTCCATCATTTATCTTGTGTCTCTTCATTTATTTTAGGTCTTTATAATGATAGGTTGTCTGTGAGTTAGATTATTGGAACATTTTGGGAGAAGAAGGTCGTTTTTTTTTTTCAGCTAATAGGATAAATGTTGTTTCGTCAGAGTTAAGACACAGCTGCAAAATGTTTTATTTCTTTATTCCTTATTATTTCCTTTAAGCAGGAACTTTTGATCATCCCAAGCAGTTATCATGTGAAGCTATGTGCTAACTGACCTGCTTTGTTCTTGTGTTTTTCAGGGAGTTGTGTTTGAGTCAAAGCCGAAGAAATCCAAATCTTTGCTTCGAGTTACAGATGTGGAGAAAATGGCCAGGAGCAACCAGGTGAGGGGAGAGGGTAGACTTTACACCTCTGTTGGGTTTGGGTTTGGGGGTCTTAAAGCACACATAATACTCTTTACATTAACTCAGTTGAGCAGTAGGGCAAGCCCATTAACCGGAGCTGCAGCCCCAGCTAGTGGCGGGTGGCAACATTACAGCTTAGACACAACATTTAACCGGTACTGTGGGCCTGAATTAATTATTTTAACCAAACAATAATTCAGATGATGACGACTAAACAAGATGACTGCGTTCAAACATTTTGTCCAGGGGCTCCCAAACTTTCAGCTCGTGACCCCAGAAATAAGGGTGCCAGGGACTGGGCATCCCCACTGTTGAAATTTTTGTAAATATTTTTTACAATTAAGAGGGAGATATATCATTTTAAATGATCTAAAATTGTTAATTTAGTTAGTTTTTATGAAAGGCGTCTTGCAGCCCCCTGTCTTGGTGGCTCGCAACTCCTCGGGGTCCAGACCCTCACCTCGGGATGACACTGATTTAATCATCTATGCATGTCCCTTTATGGCTACCGTACAGAGGATAAGCCCTTCTGATTTAGGCAGCATCATGATTTTTTCCCTTGCGTGAACCTAAAGCAGAAACTGACAACAAATTGTTTTAACCCAATAAATTTAACTTTCTATGTCCAGAAAGCTAAACAGTCCAGGTGATGTCCTGTATGCATCAACTGCACGTGTGAACACATCTGTGGTTTAGGATTAAGAAAGTGTGTTAGTGTTTCTTCACCCGTGTCTGTGTTTAAATCAAACTACAATCCCAGAAATATCCCTTTGTGTTGTTTCTGTGTGTGTAATAAAGCTTGGAGCCTAAAGGGGACACTCCAGTTGTTTTGTTTATGATATTAAAGTGAAAGAAAGTAAAAGTCCTGGCACTTTGTTTCAGAGAAAAAAGAGACTTTAAAGTGATGAATCTCCTATGCGTCCACTCGTACAGCTTCAGCCTCCTCATAAACATCCTGAAGGAGGACGACATACATTAACGTGATGTATTAAAGCGTGTTAGTGTGATGGATGGCACACACACGGCTCCCTCTCCTTACAAACATCCTTCCTCAGGAGGGTGAGGACTGCTAAAGTGATGAATGGGTCAGGAGGAGCTGCGAGCCCACAGGGAGCACAGAACATTAATAACAACATTCATCAGTTTTACGGCTCCAACCTGCAAGTTTTCAAGAACAATATATCAGCTACCCTTTCTCTTTTACTTTTATTTACACAGCTTCAACAGCAGGCACTTTGTTCTCCGGCATTTTTAACTCTGTTCTCAATATATAAATATTATTCTACTTATCCTGGAGCTTTTCAGAACAACCAAAACACACAAAATAATACTCCTGAGTCAAACAAACCATTTATCTCTGTGTAAATATAAAATCATTTCTTTCCCAAACATTCCCTCATATAACCTCAGTGAGGGATTATTCTCAACATTGACTTGTTTTTGTCTATGTTCGATGCGTAATGCAAAATAAATACTCACCAGTTTCTCATCTTCCATGACTCATCGGCAAGAAAAGTCTGTCTGATTGATATCATGCTCGTGCAGCTCTTTTCAGATTGCACCGTGAACTAACTGCTGTGCGTGCATGCATGTGTCTAACCTGTCCGTAAACATTCAAGGAATGTTACCTTGTTAACTTGTCCTGTTGCTGCTTAACAATGTGGCCATATATGTGGGCTGTTAAAGGAGCAGATGTGTACAGTGTAGTGTATTATAAGGAGACATGTAGTAGAAGATGGTTACTCTTCAGGTCGGGACCATTGACTCTATATTGAAAAGGACAGCGCATCTCATTCTCCTTCCGTTTTGAAGCCAGAATAGTCCTGCGACAGGCTGACAGATTGTGCTGGTGACACAATTTAGAACCAAGACATGTGCAGAAGGGAGCTGCCTGATCGAACCACAGAATTGATGCCACGCCCCTTCAGCTAATCGCAGCACACATTTAACTTATCAATAAAACTTTAAAGGAACCCTCAAGTGGGTACAGTCCACAGCAGATCAGATTCTGGTGTCTGTCTGAAGCAGAGACTCTCCCAGTAGTCTGTTGCTCTCTCCATCTCAACATGTAGTCAGTCGTCTGGACAGGTAGCTAAAGGTACTAAGGAACATTTTTAGAAATGGTCAGATATGGTTGAATGGTTGTAAATTCAATGTATGCCCCCCTGAACTCTCTTCTACTGCTGTCTCTAGGGATTAGTGCAATTGACCGGCTTAACGATTTAAGTTGGCATCATCACTAGTCAGCCCCAGAAATACATGCTTTTTTAAAACGTGGGCCCACAATGCCAGTTAAAGGTTGTGTCTAAGCTGTAACACAGCCTCCTGCCAACTGTTGTAGCTTCGGTTAATGGGCCTGCTCTCCTCACTCTACAGCCTGGATGTAAACCAGCATAATGTTCGGTTGGTTTCTCATAAGAGTGGAACGTTTTAGCAGTATTGTGATCTAGAAATGGAGATAAAGTGTCAGGGTAAACTGGTGAGTCGTGCATATGACACAACTGAAATACACACAAAGGTGAGACTTCACCCAAGTTTTATATTGACAATTGTGAATGCTCCGTCCAGATTTAACTTGAGCACATAAATCATGAGTTTGGTGGTTAACGATGAAGTCGTACGGTGTGAGCTGACATTCCACCACCACTTCTATACAGTCGTACAGAGTACGCCGGGCTTTAGGTGACATGTTTTATTTGACATCACAGTTTCTCGTCCCATTATTTTTCTTTTCTTTTTCACCACCGTCACTATGTATGAACTCTACATCCCTGCATATTGTTTCTTTTGTGCCTCTCTCTTCATATTTTCTCTTTTCTCTCTCCAGTTGTTTAAGCTGAACTCTGCGACCCTGCTGGCCTGGTTAAAAGTCAGAGGAGCGACTGTCAGTGCCAAACACAAGAAGGAGGAGCTGATGCTGAAGGTCATGGGCTGTCTCGCCGAGGCTTGAGACCCACACACACACACACACTAACACACGCACACACATGCAACCACACTCTGCCCATATCGACTTAATCTACTTACTCTGGAGCATTAATGCTGCTCTAAGCTACTTGATTCAAGATTTGATGTTAAAAGAGAAGCTGCAACAAAAGAGCACTTTCATCCTCGCTAATTGAGATGCTGAAGATTTGCCCAAATTCTAATCTTGTGTTAGATGAAGTCGCTTTGGAGTCCTATAAAGTGAAATACAGACTTCATAAGATTTTTTGCTTTTGTTTGATCAAATTGTTAAGATCTGTGAAAGTGTATGTTGTTCATTCACAAAACGTTTAAGAAAACGTTCTTTTCATTGAAGGAATTCTGTGTTTGTTTTCCTTCTTTCTTTTAAAAAACTTAAATCTTCTACCCTAAAGGGGAATTGTTTTTTATGGCCCCCTTTTCAACATATTTTTGGCTCTGAAGACCTTGTAGGTACATCATTTTTCAAAGTTCAGATTGTTATTCTAAGTGTCTACAGCCTGTTTGACTGCTGCAGGTAGAATCCGCCTACCGGAGCAAAATCAAAAAGACTTTTTGTTCCTATAAATTATTTATAACCCCAAATATGTTGAATATAAAAGGCCAAAGATGCACAGACACTGGAGTTGGCTGTAAATAAGTTCTCTACCTCCGATGTTTCAGTTGTTAAAGTCACACTGAAGGTTTGAAAATAGGAAAGTTTTGTTCTGATTCATTGAAGGTGAAAAGATGTATATTTGAACAGAAAATATTCTCTGTTGTGAATTCTTCCACCAATATTTATTATACTTATTTAAAAATTATTAATACAAAAACCTATGAGCTGTTGTTCAAAAGTATATTAAAATATATTTATTTATAAAAAAAATGTTGAGAAATTGTAGTGTATTTTTCATGGTTTCAAGTCTCGTATATTTCATATAAATTAGTGAAGAAAAATGAGAAAGACGGTCTGCCCTCTGTGTATGTGTGTGTGTGTGGACTCAACAAATCTGTCTCTTCCTGGGAACGAGGGTAAAACAACTAAACTTTCTCTGTGAAAACATTCAGAGCTCAGATGATTGGGATCTTTCACTATTTGGTTATAACGACAGAGCTGAGAGATTTTCTCAGTGTAAACAAAGAAATTCTTTGGACTCTGTTTAATGAGACAGGCACTTCTCATGGTATCAGACACGTTATATAATTTAAATCTATAATAACATACTTTGAGTCCTTCTAGGCTTGCTGGAGAGAGAGATGTGAGGTTGTGTTAGGATATAGGCTTTCAGATGTGAATCAGGGGCTTTTTAAATTAATGTTAGTCAGGTATAAAACAAAAATCAGTTTAAAGCTGTGATTGTTGTTGCATTTTAAAAATATGGAAGTTTCACGTTGCAGTGTTACTTTTAATCACTTCCTCTTTAAAAGTCGCTTGTTAAATAGTTGATTAATAAACGAGTTGATGTGTATGCTGAGGAGTGGGCTGAGGGGGCTTGAAAAAAGTTGATGTATTACCCTGTGACATCACCCCCCATAAGAAATCAAATGTTTCCCACAATGCAATTTGATAGCTGCCCCATCAGGAAACTAAATCCTGAGCTGTGGGAGGCTTTTTACACTACAGGAATTCCTTTATGTTAGACACGTTGAGTGTGCGTGTGTGTGTGTGTGTGTGTGTGTGTGTGTGTGTGTGTGTGTGTGTGTGTGTGTGTCCAATCAGATTCTCTGTAGGTGAAGTCACTGTCAGCTGTCAGGCGTTACATCAATTATTTTGCTGGATATCAACATCTGGCTCCATCCCATGAGTCACATCAAACCTGTGAGAGATCCTTAACACACACACACACACTCACACACACACACACACACACACACACACACACTCACACACACTCACACACACACACTCACACGCACGCACACACACACACTCTGTATATATATCAGCTTTCAGCTTGGAGTTGAGTGTTACAGAAACCTCTCTTGTGTTAAGAGGCTCTTTAGGTGGAAAGATTGCACTAAACTGAGTGATCTGGGCTCTAAATCACTTCAAGAGCTCTTCCAATGTTCTGAAACAATCAGGAAATTCTCTGAAGAAACACTGATGAAACTCTAAAGTTTATTATTAGATGATCCCAGTCAACTGATTTACTAGTCAGTCCAACAGAAAGTAAAATCACTGAGTGTGGCTAACGTTAGCAGTGCGAGCACGGCCAGCCTTCAGACATGCCTGCTCCCAAGGAGCCTTCAAAAGATTTAATATAGATTCATTGAATTAATTGAAGTTAAGGTTAGGAAAACATTTTTTTTTTTAGCTGTGAGAGATCTTTGACCAGGAAAATACGTTTTTGTAACCTACACTGTCTAGTTAGTATTTTATGTTTTATTATTATTGTTCTCTGTGGATTTGCTCTTATGAGTGACAACTCAAAGCATTTAGAGCAGTTTATAATGTACGCATTGACAAACCATGAAGGGACGAGAGAAGGAGAAGAAGATGGTAAAATGCAAGCTCAAGAAAATGTGTCTTCAAGATGAAAGTGACGGCTAATGGATGGCAGGGACAATTATTATAAGGTGACCTGCAAGATATTCCAAGTGACTTTAAACTTGGGATAATGGGAAACAAAGCCGTTGACTCCCACATGAAGTCAAAAAATGTGCAGAATGTTCCTTTGTTTGGGTCTTAAAAAGTCTTCAATTTGATCTTTAAAGAGTGCAGAAACCCTGTTACACTCTTAAGGCACACAAAGAAAAAAAAAAATCAGTCACCAGTTAGTGTTCTGCTGTGGTTTGTTCTGAAGGTCTGGTGCTGGTGGTGGTGGGTGGGGTGTTTCATAAGCTGTGGGATTTATCTTGACTGCCTCCTTTTTTATTGCCTAATTCCTGAATCCTCGAGTGGAGAAGTTGGCGAGCCTGCAGAGAGGAGAGACTCAGTCCAGATCCTGCACAAAGACTCTTTTGTTTCCATGGGACAGAAACCAGGAGAAAGTCAGAGTGATGGATATGAACTAGCTAACTGTCTGTGTGTTGTTGTTTGATTCATAGTGTTTTACCGAGAGTTAGCGGTCAAACTGAAGGTCCTGTTTTCTAAAAGGTTGAACGCTTTAAACCATAAATATCAGTAAAGGTTAATGGGGAGAAGTGCTGCTCGTTAAAAGTTACTCTGATAGAAGAGAGAGCTGCAAATCAGCAGGACAGGAAACAAAAGGAAAGATGTTCACACCTTGAGAACCGAAGAAAACTTTGGTCAGACTTCTTGTTTTTGAAGTGAAGCTCACTACACGAGTACTGCCAATGTGCCCTTGAGCAAGGCACCTAACCCCAAACAGCTCTGCCCCGCTCCCAATGTAGCAGTGTGTGATTTGGATTAGATGGAGGAGAAGAAGAGGAGTGAAGGGGAAGCAAACACTGCTTTATACATTTATAAATGAGGCCTCTTTTCTTGCTTCCTCATTAAGAAGCTTCTGAAGCTTCCTGCACACATGTTGCTAATTGTATGTAAATAGGAATATAAATATGTAAATATATACAAGCAGGTCGGCGTGATATCATAAAACCTTGCAGAAAAGTATCTATAATGAGTGAGAGGCACAGTGAAAATAATAATGAGACCACAGAGTCTCTCTCTCGCTGATAGAAATGTTGAATCTGAAACCGGGTTTTGATTTTAGAAACAAACTCTGCCGTCTGAGAACTGGTTTCTTCCCCTTACTGTCTGTGCTGGACGACGGTTTTGTTTTATACATGCACGCCTCGCCTCAAAGCTCACATGCTCTGCAGGCTCTGAGCTTCATCACTGATTTTTTAAGCCTTCACTCATCAATGTTTCCTCTATGCATGTGTTGGATGGTCTTCTTTGTCCACACGTAGACTTACATTTTAAAAACAGAGTCTAGGTCAGCTTCCTTCATACCCTCTGACCATCGTCTGTCAGAAAGAGTAAAGGGGGGCGCTGATGGTGCATTGGTAAGTCCGCGCGCCCCATGTATGGAGGCTGTAGTCTTCCAAGCGGGCGGCCCGTGTTCAAACCCCACCTGTGGCTCCTTCCCCACATGTCATTCCCCACTCTCTATCCACTGTCCTATCTCTCCATTAAAAGCCCACAATAAATCTTTAAAAAAAAAAAAAGGAAGAGTACAGGAACGTATAATCTTCAGTCCCAGGAACTTCTCTTCCTGCCTGTTCCAAAAGTTTTGATAGTATGTAGGACGCGATTTCAAAAAAAGTCTGCAGCTCTGTTTATTTGGAACCAATCACAAAAAGACCTGGAACTTAACGAGCTGCTGATTGGATGATTTTTTAAATTACTTGTACATCTGATTGTTGATGTTTTTATTTAATTTGATTTGGACTTTGATCTATTTGAACAAATATTTGCTGTTAATCAACATTTTGCGCTGTTACAGAAGCGTGAATATTTCTTTTCAAAGGATGCTCGTGTGAAAACGGCTTTTTTGCCTCCATGTTTTCTCTCCCTGACTAAATCTGCTGCTTTTGTCCCCTGACATTTCACTCCCAGACGTTCCCCGTGCTTCCTCCAGGCGATGACTTTGTCCCTCTTTTATCCGTGCAGCAGTTTTTCTTTCCCCGGAGACAATCGAGCTGTCCCCACAGGTCTGACACAGATTCATCCTCCTCTTTTCTTCCTCCTCCGTCCTTTTCTCGTCTGTTTACGCACACGAAGAAAAGACAAAAAACGAGGACAAAGGGTTTCCTGACAACCGAGAACAAAGACAGAAATCTCTCGTTTGTTGCTCCTTTCATGCTCACTGTGTGTGTGTCCGTGGACTCCACCTTCTCGTGAAAGTGAACCTGGTGATTTCGGGCCTTCCTGGAAGTTTCCATCAGACACCAGACTGTTGGCCGACAAAGACGCAATTTTCTTCCATACACACGTCTTTTCATTCAAGTGTTTGTACATCTGCTGGGATAGATTTTAGGTCTGATGATGTTGAATTTGAACTTCTGCTCAATCTTTGTAGAAGTGTATTAGATTATTGTGTTTTCAGTAATTTTGTTGTAAAATAATTCTGTTAAAACTCTCAAATTCATTGAATGACCTTAGTTTAATTTACTCCACTTCTGAACATCACATTGTGTGTTTGCACTGCAGAAACATTGATATATATAAAAGTCAAAGAGGATGTTTTTCTCCACCTTGCAGTATTACACACTGGCGTGGTGGTGAGCACTGTCGACTCACAGCAGGAAGGTTCTTGAATTAAACCGCTTGGTGTTTCATTCTGGCGCTTGCATTTTCTCTACTCTCTACTTCATACTCTTCACTGCTCACCTCAGTTGTCTGTATGTGTTTTAAACTGCTGTGTCTGTGTTGAGGAGATGTCCTCATGTTGTGATATTAACACACAAACAGAAGACATGGCTGAACACGCCTCCTCCTGCTGATGTTCTACCTTTTACAGTATCAGAACGGTTACTACTAAAACCATACAGTATAAACTAACATATACCATGTGTCACTGTGTGAAGGCTTGAACAGAGCATGCTCAGTCTGTTCACTTTATCTCCGCATTGATCTGCCTGTGTCTGGCATGAAGATGAAGAGGTTTCATTTGCGTGAGGCTGAGACTCAACCTCTTGAAAATAGATTTAATCAACCCTTCTCATCGATCCACTCTGTCTGGAAGCAGATTCACTGATTGGCTTAACCAGATTAAAACAAGAAAAAACACTTATTGAAACACATTTGAATGGATTTACCCGTTGACTGAAGTTTGGTCTTTTGATCTGCAGCTTGTTTGCATGTTTCACTGAGTATTC